CATGTTTACACGCTGCATGACGTGTCCCATCCGATGCCGCAACGCCTACAGAAAGTGATAAAAACCAAACTGAAGGGGGCGTACAGGACACTGAACTTCTGAATACAAGTACTTGATAGAGCAATTAACATCTTTTAAAAATTTTATGTTAAAATAAAGTTTCGGTCAAAAGGTATAGAGCACAAAAAAAAGAGGAACGAACTTTTGGGACACCCAGCTGTATATGCTGCACCCTCTAAACGCTATTTCTGAAGAAACAGGAACTGTATCCGGCGCTCCACTTGCTAATATCCTTTGCCTCATGCAACTGGATCTGTCATTGCACGTCTTTAACATAGTACTTCAATTTGTGTTTCGACATATCTGGTACTTTACCATGAGTAATCCTTTCGCACCCAGGTTGGCAATTATGATTGTATACCCGACTATAAAACCTTGTAAGTTAATTATTATACCTTATATACTTTATGTTCTTATACATTGTAATCTTGAAACTTTAAGTACTTTTTCATTTTAATCGATCTAAAAAATGATATCTGACATTTTCTGGTCACGAGGATTTAAATACCCCGGTTCACACAAGATTTGAAACATTTAAAAGCGGTTTTATGAAACACGAATTAAAACTGGTTTTGGAAAAGTTGCCCATTGATTTTTGTCGACTAAATGAAAGCATTATCCAATTAAAGAATAGGCTGAACGACTTACTTAAACTTCATGCAGACTTAGACAACCAACTTTGGCCTTTCAGCTTTCTATAATTGCTTTTGTTAAACCTGCTTTAATTAAACTTGTTTTGTTGCGGTGAATAGGACTTAACTTGTTGCTTGACATATTTGTTTGATTCAATGAAACCATAAAAGGCAATATTCCTTGTGCTTTCATGGCGTGTGAAATTCCTTGTTCGCAACCAATTCTCAGTACCCTTGAGAGGGTGATGATAAAGTTAACAGCTTTCAATTGATCACTCTGGGAATTTTTCAGAGTATTGATTCCCAGTGACTATAGCCTTTTTTCCCCACGGGGAGATTTGACCCTCTTTGTCTGAAATTGGGTATAGATTTTAATAAGCTGGGTCTGAAATAAGGATATTTCTGAAGTAGGGTCAGTTCTCAGTGCTTTCTAGAAAAAGCGTCTGGAATAGGCCAGTTTCTAATTATCATTAGGCTGAGCGGAATAAGACGAAAGTAATGAATTATTCATCCTTCAAACTTAATGCTATTTCTTTTGGTTTCTTCCCCTCCGCCTCAAAGCAATAACTGATGGGCCTTTTTAGCTTGCATGTTTTGTTTTCCCAATTTAGGCTACGTGATGTTCTCAAGGGAATTCGCCTTCTGTCTTTTCTAAAATTGTACATGCATATACAGGTGGATAGGACGAAATTTGAAAGAAACAGTTTTCTGAGGTAACATCACATGGTCTGAAATTAAATGGGGAAACAAAAAATACAGGCCAAAAGGGCCTATTCAAAACGCGAGTATCGGGTGTCTATTTTCTTTTGTTTCATTGTTTTTGGCTCGTTCGAACCGTGGTCCGTTCTGAATTGGGAAGCGAAAATAACAGAGTTTGGTGGGATTATGCAGGAAAGCAGCACATGGCTGTCGAGACGTGCCACACTCTTTCCCCCCGATTTTGCCATGAGCACCTTCTTTCCCTTCCATAACGGGCTTCTCCCTCAAGAATAAGCTCAAGATAAAGATAAACTTGTAGAATAGAGGGAACTAGCTTGTTTTTTTCATAAGTTGAGGATACTCATTTTCATATCAGGGATAGTAAAAGATGTTTTAGAATGAAAGACGTGATTTGAAAATTGAAAAGAAAGAATTGTGAACACTCAATTCAACAGACTCATATTGGAATCGTTGAAAACTCGCTCTTCTTAGAAAGGTTCACTGGTCTTACTGTTCAGGATCCTCCTCTATAAGAATCCTGGAGTCTAAGACCTTTCCCGCCAATATTAAACACTTAATGACTGGTCCCGGGAGAAACAAAATTGACTGTTTCCAGAGGGACCAGTGTTAAAGTGATTTGTTATATAGCTTGAAATTTTGAAGCTGGAAATTCATTAAACCTCGCTGTAATGGCGGTCGTCGGTCAACATTCGCGGGTGATTTTGTGATGTTGCCCGCTCAGAGAGTTTGGCGGGAAACAGTTTCATTGTTAGATGTCATGTGACCTCGAAGTAACCAATGAGAGCGCGCGCTGTTGCAAAAAAATTTCCAGCGATATTATAACTAGCAATGGAAGCTGATGATATGTAGTTGAAAATTAAAGGCTTACAGAGCATTAACAGTTGGATTTTTGTTACCCGCTTAGTAATGGAGCTCGAATTAAGCTTTGTAGATCTGCTCAAAAACTTAATGAAATTGAATAATCTCACTTAAGAGCTGACAACTCCAATGTCAACATTTTAACTCCCGGTATGAATGATTGAACCTTATAAGATGTCTCTGACTTGAATTCCTATGGTGTGACCATTCAAATGAAAGCTACCGAGCAGTACTTTCCTGTGGTACTGTTTATTATGCTGTACAAGGTGGTTCTAACTTTTGAGTCTGTTGATGAAATCCTATGGTGTAACCATTCAAATGAAAGCTAGTGAGCAGTACTTTCCTGCGGTACCGTTTATTATGCTGTATAAGGTGGTTCTAACTTTTGAGTCTGTGGATGAAATCCTATGGTGTGACCATTCAACTGAAAGCTACTGAGCAGTACTTTCCCGTGGTAGTTGGGAGCTTAAGCAACGACGACGGCGACGTCAACGAGAGCAGCAAAAAAAGCAATAGGTTTTTTTTGTACATTTATTTACCGTCACTACACGACTACGACGTGAAAATGCCCAATTTCACTTTTTGTGGACGACGTGAACACAACACAACGACTTTCTTTCTCCTTTCCTGAACTGAGCTTCGATACAGTCTTTTAGAATTCAGCTCCAGAAAAGGCTTCCAACATTTGACGAATTGAACGAGACGGAACAAGCGCAAGAAAGTTTGATGCAGCGCGACTTCCCTTTTTTAATGACGTTTTTGTAGCCGTCGCTAAGCTCCCTATTGTTTACTATGCTATACAAGGAAGTTCTAACTTTCGAGTCTGTACCACGAAATCCTGCGGTATGACCATACTTTCAGCGTTAAGCATTTTTTTGGTCTAATTTTCACTTTGACTACTCAGTTCTGGGAACGAAAGGGTAACAAGAGAACCACTAGGTTTGGAGCACGTGTAAACGGTGTCAGAGGAAAGCAGACAGAAGTGTGAGGCTCTCCTAAATTGTTGCTGAAGGGCTTCATTTACAGACGTTATATATGGAACTACCTTGTACCTTATTATAAACAGCGTATTTAAATTGTCTTGCTATTACAGTGATTAAGATAATAGAAAAAGAATTTATCAACAACGGTATAGATCTTACAATTTATTGCTTTATATTAAAACTTTTGTTTCTCGCAGCTGGATGCGTCGTCAGTTGAATACCAATAATAAGTCACAAAACTCCACAGAACATCACTGAAAAAGCAAAAAGTTTTCTTCCTGAACTTCAAAATAGCGTCCCTCTTTGTTTTTCTTCTACTGAAAAACGGCGGAGATAGATAGCTTGAGGTGATGTTCCTTTGGAGCAAATGAGGCCGTCACATTAATTTCATCCCTAAAACCATTTACTTCAGAATCTATTAAAACTATTTAAATAATGATAGCGTCTAAAACACACATCGTTTCATTTGGAAGCTCTCCAGGTGCTCGGTTTGCAATTTTAAGGGTTTGATATCTACTCGTTTGATGTGTCCGGCCTATACATAAACACTGTTTCCGGATCAGTACAAGAGCATCTTTACTTTTGCTAAGCCTTCCGCTATCTTATATTTCTTTGTCGTATTAATCACTTGCATAAACATCTGAGCCAAAAATAAAGTGCCTCGCAGTGTTTTCTTTAGAACTCAAGTGGATGTAGGCCCAGTACATCAGTACAGAATCTGTCGGAACGTATCTATCAAAGGTCACATAGTTCGAAAAATATCCTTTCTGTGCGGTTTTGATCCCTGTGGTTTATTTCAATGTTTGATATAAACGTCAGCTATTAAACAACACTTTCAACCCCATAGCGCTAATCATCTAAGAGGATTAAATCAAGTGACTACTTCGATGAAACTATTTCGTCTTTAGTCTGTCCGTTACATTGCAGAAGGCGTGTTACTGCCGGTCGTGGGAATTTGAGAATATGGCTCTCGTAACCCGATGAATAGATCGCGGCTTGGCGAAAATCACCAGCAACCTTAAATTACATGGATAACTATTCCATGGCATTTAATTGTTTATCCTTTCCCAGACAACCTCTCAAGTGCCGGCAATTAAGTCGTGTTGTGATCTCCTGCAGTTTTGTTTGAATTCTATTATAATTGATCTTTCACAACTACTGTCAAATACCTCAATCTAGTTAAAGCTCTGACCTGTGCCGCTAAGACGGTGGGGTTAGTCCCAGAGATAATTGTAGTACAGTTGTTGAGCAGAAATAAATTGTCAAAAGTTGCCTTCAGTAAACTATTGCTCAATCTTAAGGCGCGGTCTAGCTTAACTGGAAGTAACGTTTTCTATGTAGTTAATAGTCCAGTAGATTCTTTCCCTGAAGGGAGAAAATAACACAAAAATACCAACTAATGATGACACCAAAACCAAAAAAAAAAAACGTTTTCAGTGACTGTATTTAACGCGACTCATTTCAATCCGTTTGTTGACGCAGGAATATTCCTGTTTTGGTCGTTGTATCTGTGAAAATTTCTTCAGGTGGGCCGTACATCCCCGCTAAAAATTTTGAAGAGTACCTCCCTCTACCCTCTCTCGCCTGCTCATCGAGCCCAGAACCGTGGTATCACTTTGTCTTAAAGACTGGTGTGGTTCTTGCTTTCATGTTGACTGAGGGTAACGGAAACCAAACAGATAATCTTTGTCACGTTCTACTGATCGTCATAACATTGGGCTTCAACGTGTTAGGTAATAATGTGGCTCTACAAACAAGTGTGCACCTCCATCTCCCTGTGGCATTTCTTGCATTTGACCCTGCAGCACCAAAGGAAGTGGCACTTGCAGTTTTCAGTGATAACCATCTTCTTCACCTGAGCGCCCCTGCCGCAGCACAGTAGCTTGCATCCGCCTACTCCCATACTGGTGTCATTGCACTGTCTACCAGTAGTCCCCAAAGAACCCAGATAGTGGTCAGCTTTGCAAAAGTCCGGGGAGTCAGTGTTGTACACCAAATCTAATTCAGTCTGAGGCTTTATTGTTTCTCCTTCTTTGATCAACCTATCGCCTTTGTTGCTAATTAACACTTTAATCGCACCATTGAAACGGGCTTTTAATCGGTCTCCTACATCTCTAAAGTGCGGCATCTTTTGCCAACATGTTTTAACAGCACAAGAGCCGGAGAGACCATGGCATTTGCATTCTCTTTGCATGTAACGCTTCACTGCCTGGGAAAGAGAAAACGAGGAGAAAATGGTACACTCGTTAGGGGTGCCCTCGACTAAATTGATTATATTTAAAGGCTATATATCTCTGGGACATTAGATTATTATATATCACTGCGAGGTGTTGTGTTTTTGCAAAGCTAACTTTCGACTCCCAGACTCTTGTATATGTGAGTGCGTGTGGCGGTCTTTGTCTACACTTTCCTAAATGGCGCTGGAAGCCGGCCGAATGATACAGGCAGTCTAAAACAAGAGATCACTCAAAATGGAGTAAACATTTCTGTAGGGATTATAGTATTCGTGTCAAGATGCCAAACCGCGGGAGCACTTGTCTTTCATTATAATCCACTTCGAAGATAAACTGTCAAAATTGAATTAACGACTCTGTCAATAAAGTTTACACAAGAAAATTAAATTCCTGTGAAGATTTATTGTGATGAGAAAAGGGCTGATTAAAAAAATACTGAAGCATTAAGACGTCCCAGGGACATCATGCAGTCGTCCCAATGATGGAATTAACACAAGACCTTTCGTTCCTCTGTCATCTGGGTTTAATATCGCTACTCAAGAGGTTGAGAAATGTCTGTTTGTCGGTTTGTTTTGTTTAATACCGCCTAAGGTATCAAAAATTAAACCTATACTGATAGCTCAGTGTATTTGTGTGTAAACAAAAGCATGTGTGCTTACAAAAGGTATGCAAATACAACAAATTCGGCGATTAGTGGAAGGCGTTTTTATAATTTAGCTTTTCTTCGTCCAAAATTAACATTAGGATTCGATAGCTCAGTGGTAATTGTTCGTTTGGCGGTATAAGTGACAAATTGACTTTCACGCTATTTTGACTATGAGCTATGCTTTGTACGCAAGATTTCTTGTCACATTGCCGACATCTCTGAATTAGCTCAAGACATCGGGCTCTCGAGCCAATTTAGTCTCGCAGAAGAGTGACTGGGTTTCGCCTGCAAACACTCAGCTTTCTCTCCGCCGTCACGCTTACTTGTTATCAGAGCTTAAATCCTAATCAAAACGGTACATTGATCATGCAATAAAAGATACCACCAAAGGGCGCCAAACCGAATAGAATCCCTGACCTGAAGTCGTCGATTCACATCCGCTGTTAACGAAATAGCGAATTGTGCATTGTATGCGGGCTGGCCGAAAACAAGGTCCACTCAAGTGCCGTGGAATTGTAAAAAATACATGCATGTTTTCTCTGACCTCGTTAACTGTAAACAAGCTTATTACTTAGTGATAATTGTAGGACAATTGTTTCACAGCCTTTCCACAAAAGCCCCTGTTCTGAAGAGTGTCTCTGATACCTTCTCTGCCCTCATGCACGATTAAGTTTGGTTGATACGTATGTAACTACAAAGCCTATTTAAATGTAATATCGTGATGAGGAGGGGAGGGCTCGACTGTCGCGTGCTTATCAAAACTAGAAGAAAGGGTTTGGGCAAATCAAAACAATACTTGGTACACCGCGGAAATGCTGAACTCACCAAACGGCCTGCCTCGTTATTGTGTTCGATTACCATGGAGCGTCCGTCCTTGCCCCTATTTTTCGCCATTAGCTGCTTTGATATGGTATATCCATAATAAATATTATCGCTGCAGCCGCCCCATTCGAACTCGTTATTTTCTCCAGGGAATACCTGGTTCGGAATATTGTTCATGTTGTCTCTTGCAGGATAAACATTTCGTGGTTGTGTTGCGATCAAGTTGTTGTTTAGAACCTGTGACGAGGCAGCTACTTTACGCTTGGGCTTGCGGCAGCCACAGTTGCTAAGTTGACCCATTCTACATGCCCGCGTGACGGAAAAGGTTGCTCCGGCTGAGGTGATAGCGTAGATGAAAGCCGTTTCCCTGTAGTCTGAACAATCAACAACAAAAAAAAGCTTTATGAGTTGAAGAAATTTGGTAACTTCTCTTTCCCACAATCAAGGCTTTCAGTGTCGTGTATATGGTTTTAAATCATGCGATATTGGGAATGCGACAGTGCACGAAAATCCATGCTCAACAATGTGCAAAGATTAAAACGGTGTTTGTTGGTTTTGTACTCAACTTACCGTATCGTAGAATTCCCTTAATGGAATTCCTAGACGTGGTGCAATTCCATCGCCTATTTCTGAACTGCCACTGGCACTCGTCGACGGAAGTTTTCATTCCCGCCAGAAAAGTCGAGATTAGTTTAGGCTTGGACTTACAAAAGTCCGCCGTTCTTTGAAAGAACGACTGCGTTTTCTTACACACGCTATTTGGGTCTTGTTGCAATGACGTCTCGAGTGACCTGTGCATTGATGATTAAAGGTAGTATATGTTTTAGTAATCTACTAAGCCAAGTAGTATGGGGATTATTAAACCGCGGATTTCTTTGGTGTCATACTTTTTCTTACTCTGCATGCATGTTACTCACCACCAAATCGCAATAACATTGCTTGAATAAATAACAAATAAAAATAGACTCGGTAAACGAAGCTTCATGGCTCACTCTAAGGAGTCACTTATCAATGAACGAGAAGAATAGGATGTAAGTGCAGCGAGTAGAATTAATATGCTCTATAAACAGATGAGATCGTCCTTGACGCTGATTGGTTTCTCAGTTCTAACAGATGTCACTTTAACTCTCGTCCTCATTAAAAGTCAATCGGAGCTAATCTCGGTACCATTAGACAGAAGTGGAAGTGAACTCTGTCAGTTCTTTCATCGAGTCGTAACAACTGGTTGACACGCGCCTGAGAACTAAGGACGTTTGACCGAAAACTTCAAGATAACGTACATACTTTTTTTTCGTCGGTACGAGACAAAGTGTGTCGCACCTGGCCTAGCCTTGATAAACTTAATTGATTAATAAAATAAAAGAACCTTTCCCCTGTCTCATCTCTAAGCCACAGTTATTACACTTGTCTAGTCCTTCCTTTAAAAGCACTAAATAGAGAAACAGACAAGATTCTTTATTTTTCATATTAGAATGTAATCTTATCTACAATAATTGTAATTCGTACAAAGTCAATTTGTTTTGCTAATTGTTATTTTTAACTTGTCAACATCTTTTCAGGAGGCTAGCCAGAAAGGCAGCCCCCCAAAAATGTTTTGATAGCATTTTGCAAGCCACACATAGCATAGAATGTCTTAGTAACAAGGTAAAAAAATATTTATAGCTGTTTTGCCTTTTATCACGATCGTAGCTTGCTGCATCTTTTATTGATGATATTTGCGTTGTTTGAGAAACATTTTATCTCTACCCATAATTGCCAATAGTCAAGGAAAACCACATTTTTCAATTAAGAATCCAAAACATTCTTGCGAATGGAATATGCAGACAAAACAATGCTTTTCTAAGATAAACTGTCAGTGTATTCTGGTGATAAACTTTTCTATGACGCCCACCTTATTTAAAAAAGTTCAAAACTTCGACAGCTCTCAGTTAAGGAATGTCAATATATAAGAAAGGACCTCAAAACATTTTTTCCCGAATCAACGAGCAAAGCCTGTTTCTTGTGCAAACTGCTTAAAACGAGACTCAAGACCTTATTTTTTATCTTTTTTTTTTCAGAAGTGAGAGTATGGAAAAAATTCTAACATTAAGGTGTTATTTAAATTTCAACTATTTTCCTTTCTTCGTCGGAAATTTTTAATGGTAAGGAATATACTTCCGTACACTGTTTCTCAAATTGTTTTGCTTTATCGGTAAAGTATAGAGCTCTTCCGGGATATAAGCTTCCATAATTGACCAAGTGTTCTATGTTAAGTTCAAACTGACTGCTAACCATGCACGAAATACTTGGACGACAATTTTAGATGAATAAACAAGGAAAATGATACTCGGCATAAGATTAGATCTCTTTTTTAGTTCCGGAATAGAAATGAGTTGCAGTCTGGTGTAATTCCTGTCAACAAAGACCAATAATCATAGTTTCTAATCTTTTTTTAGATTTTCAAAATGATTTTAAAGGAAACTGAATAATTACTGTTGATGCTTCGCTCAAATCGGGAGTCAGCCTTTCTGAGAGAGCTCCTGTAAGGTTGTTTTCTGTTGCTGTGGTGGATAGAGAGGCGAGTTCTAGCCGTCTCTGGAAGTCCCACCCATTTTGGTTTTGATGTTTTTTGCCAATCTTTTCTGTCACCCCATACGTAACGCTGATTTACCGTGAATCAACTTACTTCGAAATTGAAACAGGACTTATTTTCGAACCAAAATGCGCGACATAACTATTTTAAGACCATCTTTTTTTCAGGGTTTTGGTTGAATCAAAACAATATTAAAGTTCCGTTTGTCGCTCATAAAAGATATAAACATAACAGATATGAGGAAAAGGTAGAATTCTATATCCATTTATAAGCTCATTACGAGTTCTTTCAAAGCCTTACGGATATAAATGGTCGGCGAGGAAAAAGCACTGAGGGCAGAGAGGTCGTTTATTGAATACGTCGTTAAGCGGCGGAAGAAGCAGTTTGTTTTGTAGAAGCCCTTGAGGTGGCGATCCTATATCCATAGTGTCTTGCAAGGTTTAAACCTTTCAGTCCCAGAGTCTGTAATGGAGCCCTGATATGTCGTTTTGATCTTTAACTCTGTAGACGAAAACTCGTGGTAAAAAAACTCCTCCAGCAGAACTTTCACATACATGACATGTATATATATATTATTTTTATTTTCATCATCACCATCATCATCATCATCATCTTCATCATCATCATCATCACCCTAACATAATCTTCCTATCCCTCCCCCGATCAATGGGTACGTCGAAGGCTTGTTACCGACTCTTCCACTCCAGAACCTGGGACCTCTCAGTTCTCTGCCTTTCTGCGCCACGATGTTCTGGGCTTGGCTATATTTCAATGTGTTTCAAAAGGGCATTCGAGAGTTTTCTTTGCATTTTGAATTTGGCCCGGACTGCCGGCAATTTGAGCAATGTTAGGACATGCAATTGACAGCTCTTGCTTTTCTTTGTCAACAGGAGATACGATCATTCGAAAGGTCTCTTCATTAGTCTGTAATTCACTACTTTTAAAAGGTGGCCATGCTGTAACAGATCCTTAATATTTGATAACAACGAGCATACAAAAGATCACACAGTTTGTGCTTCCATCCACCAATCTGAAACTTGACTCGAATGAATCAGGCTCAATTAAGGTACAGGTATACACTAAGTCTTTGTTTCTTGTTTACAATCACGGTCCACCAAGGAAATAGAACCTTCTTTAGAAGTTCCACCTGTTCAGCATTTCTTGACCCAAACGTCAATTAGAGCAAACATTCCATAGAGTTTTCAAATTGTCCTGTGACGCTTTGCTTGCTATGCGGAGTAACCAGTGACAGAGATAAATAGAGATTCCTTTAATATCAGTTTAAACGTCTTTACAAATTGTTTCTTGGAGCAAACACTTTCAAATGAATTGCCCTTTAAGCGTTGATAACGAATAACGACGTTGTAATCCGTGCGATGACAAAGTTCACTTTTTCCGCTATTTATTAACTGCATGTAAGACAATTTAGTCTGAGCGTTCTTTTGAGGCTCGAAGGTGGCCGAAATTCCTCCCTAAAAGGTTTATTGTACTGCAATTATCTTCACTGACTTCAAAGGTGGAATTTCAAACGTTTGATAAGTGACCAGTAAACATAGATTGCCTGTCTTTTAAAAGACTATTTGCCAAAGCTCCGCCGCATTCCATCATGCTATAATGAAATGCAGGCGGAGAACGGCGATGCATATCTCTGTGTATATCTCTTCCGAATTCGGAAAATTAGAGAGTACAGTGTAAACTAGCTTACTTTTAAAACAAGACTATATAAAAAAGGCGCAGTTCTCGATAGTGACTCGGAGTTACAAGTGAATGATTCCGACTTTTCATTGACATACGGTTCTGTTCTCATGTTTGGATAAGGTCACAGCCGGCCTGAAATCTGAAAACATTCAGAAGGTTCTTGTCAACTTCATAACTCAAATCCTAGAATCTTAGAGTAAAGGACAGTCGGTATAGGCTGCGAGAGGCTTTAATACAGTTAATTTGCTGTACATCGATCCTATTAACCAATTAATACATAAATCGATTCCTTTAACTGCTTCAAGTTGCTCTCTTTTAGATGTACCGTTTCTTCTTTTTCCAGTAGGTCAACTCTTACGGTTCCTTTCTTTGACGATAAAATTATTTTGATAAAATGATTTCAACAAGTCTGGGAAACCGGAAAATCTGAGATGAAATACAGGGCAGGTTAGGGGCCACACATTTCAAATCAGTCATTAGTTTCTCGTCCCTCATCGGGGCGGCTGTCTTTGTCTTATGCCAGCTCTACCCACTTAATCAGTCAGCTGCTGTTCTTTCCTTAGTGACCAAATATGCTTTAAAATGAATTACAACAAAATTGAAACCACATAATTCAATTTAACGAGGAGTGCTGATATTACCACTCCATTGTCCGTCGCAGGGCCGTCTTGCTGCGGTTAACCACGTCGGCCCCAACAGTGGCCAAAGCTAATACTTAGGAAATTCTTATTGTTTGTCTTATAAAATGGAAAAAGACAAATTGGTACCATGCAGAGATATATGTGCCTGTGCGAGTCTGGGAGTGATAGTGCTTACAACGTGCCATAATAACATTAAGTGAGGAAGAATGGGATTATTCCCAAGGCCTTTGCGTGAGGCGTTCTTCTCTATGTTAGTCGTGCCCATTCTCAGATCTTTCCTAACCCATTATTAGCCTAGACATAGGAGGTTGTCAAAATTGGTTAACCGTATGTGATCCAAAATGGCTTTTTAAATACCCAGTGGCGTCATTTAAGGCCGACCACCTAAAAAGTTTTCATTATATGACTGTTAAATGACTTCCTTATCCACCGGACAAGAACCCTGTCTTCTTTTAGCATCCGGGGGGCGGGGCGGCAAGATGGGCCAATCTCCCTCGCGTCGAATTGTTGTCTTTGTACCCTGGGGGAAAACTACTCCCTTGGACATGATGAATCCTTTCTTGAGCCACGTTTGCTCTCCGCTCCTCCTAAAAAGCATGTAAAAGGACCACGAAAAACACGACCTGCAGTCATCTCCTTGTTTTATTGCGAACCTTCATGCATCGTACATAATCTTGTTGTTACAAAATATATAAAAGTAGGTTGAGTTTGATCGTCCAGGTGAACGTAGTCCTGAATAGGTCTGTTGTTGTTGACAGTGACTGACATCTCGACAACCTGTGCGGTAGTTATCTCAGAGTCAAAGTGAGTTGCATCACGTCAGTTAATGGTATTCTACTCTGGTTATTGATCTGATTGGTCAATTACGTCTCGATGTTATTGGTAGTCTGTCAGTTAAGCTGTGATGTTATTGGCTATGAAGACTCGTAATCAGTAATTAGTGCGTTTCGATCCGTCTATTGTCACAGTTAAACAGTCGTCTATTGTTAGTCAATAGTTAAGGCAAAGGGAAACACGGCAAGCTCTGATGAGCTTTTTTAAGGTTCCCTAATGATTTCTTTACATTGTTGAAATAAAAAACGTGACATAATGAGTATCACTTTACATAATCAAAGA